GTGGAGTCTCCTTCTCTGGAGACATTCAAGACCCGCCTTGACGCCTTCCTGTGTGATCTCATTTAGGTTCCTGCTCTGGCAGGGGGATTGGACTGGATGATCTTTCGAGGTCCCTTCCAATCCCCAACATTCTGTGAACTTCTGGGGTGCATTTTCTACTCTTGTAATAACTGGGTATCTGATGCTTATATGCTTTGAATGTTTTGGAAAAAAAAAAAAGGGTTTATGAGTTGTCTGAACTAAACTTATGTCTCATGTAGTTCTTTAACCACCAGTGCTTATAGCGGTGGTAGAACTACACTCTACATAAAAGCAAACAGCGTGAGCGACGCTGCTGAAGGAACCATTTTGCTGGCTGTGCAGGATGATTTTTCTGAGGTGTTTTGTTTCAGTGGACCGAGCTCTGTACAGATGGAAAACGACAACAAAGCGATAGCAACTGTGACTGGTCTTCAGGTCGGTACTTACCGCTTCAGGCTGACTGTGAAAGACCAGCAAGGCTTGAGCAGCGCGTCTGTGCTCTCTGTTACTGTGAAGGAAGGTAAGCCTGGCTACTGCTGCTTAGGATATGGCAAGCAACTTACCAGTTAATTCCATCACTTGACAGAATGTAAAGGAAATTGGAAAAGAAAGGGATCGGATATTTGTTGTCATATTTCAAGGGTATTAAAGAAGAGTTACTGCTGTTTTGTAAGAAGGCAGTATTGTAAGTGACTAATTAAAGCTTCATTTACTGCAGGCTTTTTAAAAGTTAAATATATACAGAATTAGTTGTGATAAAAATGCTCCAAAATACTATTTTTGACCATGGTGTGCCTGCTTCATTAGGAGGATATGTTTTTATTTTATTCTCACAGTTCAGCTTTGAGCAGAAAAGCAATTTTATTGTGGATTTTAAGCAACATCCAATAAATGAGGTCATTGGAAATACCAATTTCCACCTAAAAACTTAACATTAAAAGACCTGTATTTATTTTGGGTTTTTTGATACAGAGAAACAGTTGCTGTGGGGTTTGGTTTTTTCATATTTTTTCCCTGTGTGCATGCTGTAGAAGAGGCTTGAGGGTAATAATGCCTGTTGTGTGAGATAAGAGGCACTGTCAGGTACTCCCGACAGATTTCATAGCTTGGATTGAATGTTACATCCTCAAGCTTGCAGGTGGGGATAATCCAACCATCTTTTGCCTCATTTTGTTCTGTAGGGAGTTATTTTAGCAATCTCCATGGGCCTGTGCTTCCTCTTAAAGAAGACAGCATAATAAATGTCAAATCTTGTTTAGTTGTGTACCTTGTTTTTTGAGAGGAGTGCACTCTGGCTCTGTAAGAGTGAGGGGTACCTGTATCATTTATGAAATTGTAGTAGAGTTGTATCAGAATCTTAGCTGCTGACTTTCTTGTCTCTTTTTCATTTGGCATCATTGCAGAACAAATACATCTTGGAGAAGAAACTGGGCTCAGTTTTACCCATGTGCATCACTGGTTGAACTGTTCTAGAGTTTGTTAGGTGTTTAATCAGAAACACATAGGAAGAGCTCTGCCCAAATATGTCTCGTGGACTCACTCATGCTGTGAAGTGTAGCCACAGTATGTACTGGGCACAGTTACAGGTTCAATATTAAAAATATTCAGTGCTCTAATAGCCAAGTTTAATCAACTGGTTTATTTGGAAGGGACAAGAAGATCACTTGTATTACAGAGAACTCTGTGCTGTTCTAAAGACTAGAGTTACAGCCAATGCCCTGGAGATCTACCCAAAACTGAATTATTTATGTCTACCCTAACACTGAAACCAGCAAGGTGTTTCACTCAGCCTCACAGCTTCCTGGAGCTCTGCCTTACCAGTTCTGTTCTAAACAAGTCAGTGATATCTGGTTTCTGGAAAGAGGATGCGTTCATGTTTCTCTGGTATTTTTTGGCTGTACTCCCAATGCATGGCTGAATTTCACTGCTAGCAATAAACAAAAAGTATTCAGGAATGGGGTTTACTCTAAATTTCCTGAATACAATTTGCCTAAATACAGCTGTTGTGAAGATACAAGACCTTACACAAGCTTCTGTTAGGTGATAAGTGATTCTCAAGACAACAAGAGCCCAGCATGGTGGTTGCATGCTGGGCTGTGTTTCTAAGTAGGCAGAAAATCCTTTTTACTGGACTGAGATGAGCTGACACAGAAGTTACTGTGGGGCTGTAAATAGAGTACCCCACGATGCTTATTGAAAAAGATCTCTTTGGATAGTACCTCTTCCTGCTGGTATTCTTCTCATGGTGCAGCTCTGCTTTTGTCAGGTTGTAACAATCCCAGAGCCAAATTCTGTGTACACACTCATCCTTTCCCTGTAGCTTTGACACGAGATTCTGTGCTAACTGCCTCTAATCATCAAGTAAAGAATTGTAGTGTGGGTGTGTTGGCAATGGCATGTCACACTTCGCATGTTTTGAAAGCAAATCCTTCTTCTCTACTGTTTTTATGGCTTAGAAAACAACAGTCCACCCCGGGCACATGCTGGTGGGAAGCATGTTCTAGTGCTTCCAAATAACTCTGTTAACTTGGATGGCTCAAGGTCTGCTGACGACCAGGGAATTGTGTCGTATTTGTGGATTCGGGATGGTCAAAGCCCAGCAGCTGGGGTAAGTTTCTTGGCATTGTGTCTGGAGTCACATTTGGCTCGTTATGCATGTAAGAAGGAAAAACAGCAGAGTGATAACAAAGCTTCTAGAAGCAAGTCACATGAGGATCTGAGAAGAATTGAAGAAGTTTAGCTTAAATATAGCTGGCAGAGATGATAGCTGGAAATCATAGAATCTCCGGTTGGAAAAGACCTCCAAGATCATTGAGTCCAACTGTACCTGTCTGCTACTAAACCAGATCTCTGAGCACCTCATCTACCCATCTGTTAAACACCTCCAGGGATGGGGACTCAACCATCTCCCTGGGCAGCCTGTTCCAGTGCCTGAGAACCCTTTCTGTGAAGAAATACTTCCTGACATCAATACATGAACTCCAAGGAGAGGAAATAATTTGGAATGTAAGAAAGCAGACTAAGGACAATAGAGTAAAACTGAGTAAGAATATTGTAACGGTCTCAGGTTTTCAAGCAGATAAGCACTTGAGAATGTCAGCTGTTCTGTCTCCTTTTCTTTTTTTTAATGAAAATATCCATACTGTGTAGACACCCTCATTAATTCCCACTTCCCAATTTACATTACACTGCTATAAACTGTGGTAGGTCACATTTGTCCCAAAAGCCAAAGCAAAAAGTCTCACTGTCGTATCAGATATGTGACTTGGTAGTCGTGAGGGTATAATTATCCCAGTTCCTTCTTTTTGCAGGATGTGATCCATGGCTCAGACCACGAGGCAGTGCTGCAGCTGACTAACCTGGTGGAAGGAACTTACACTTTTCACTTAAAAGTGACAGATGCAAAAGGAGATTCAGATGTTGATTCAGCAACTGTTGAAGTGCGGCCTGGTATGACAATTAAAAGGTCATAGATACGTTGTGAATTCCTCATCTTTGCTCTCCTTTCCTTTATGTATTTCAATGTCAACAAGATTCTCTCAAGTGAAAACACAAAGCGAACGGGTCTCTCTCTTCACACCACCTTCTTGGTTTCTTAGCAGGCCTGTGTTAGCAGGAGATGTGTCAGGATTCTTAACTACCAGTTACACCATTGCCTTACTGGAAGTACAAAAAAAAAATTAAAATCATACTTCCTAGTTAATGTTTTCATTGGTTTTTTGTTGCTTTTCATTCATTGTAGGTTTTTGTTTCTCTTTTCTGGTTGTCAATCGGTTTGGTCAATGGGAGGAGTTGGGAGCTGAACACTAAGTTTAGGTGGAGCTGCTGCACTCGTGTTTGGTTGGAATGTTTTTATGCTTGTTTTCCTTCTTCCATCCTGAAGAACAAAAAAAAACAAACCTCAGAATTTTGACACTTTTAAAATTGTCTTTTCGTGGTTTGATATTGCACATATATAGACTTGTTTTCAAATGCAGGATAAATGGCTGTGTGGTGGAAGCATAAGTTGAGGTTTCAGGAAATGAGGCTGAAATCATGGGTCTGTCTGAGATTTCTTGTCTGTCTGGTTCCTGGGCAGTTATTTTATTTCTATTCTTATAGTCACAATAATTGACTCAGGAGTCTTATTGGATATCTGTGAAGCTTGTTTTGTTTGCAAGGCACTCTAGAAGTTCACGTTACTTAATTTGAACCCTCGTTTTGTGAAGGTAAACATGTTTGATAAATCTTAAATTGACCATCCTCATTTAGACTCGCTCACACAAGTCTTGCATGCTACCTACCACACGAGTCCATCTTTGCCTCCCTTTTCCTGGGTGATAGCCAGTAGTAGATAACTACCAGGGAAATTAAGAATTAGACTCACCTATTGCTTACCTCTGACCTTCAGATGGCAGCAGGTAGGGGAAGAGAAGTCTCTATTCTGCACAGAAACGTGTTACCACTGAGCTGAAGTACACATTGAAGTGGTTTCTTTCAGCTGATAAGCTGGGTTGCTATCTTAGGACACACCAGATTCATTCCAGAGGGAATGAAAACGTAGGCTGAGTACTTTTCTAGGAACACAGAAGGGTTGTGTTATAAGGGATATGGGTCTTTTGCAGGAAAAATATAATATTAATAAATACTACTGAGTACTGCATGTTGTCTTCAGTTGGTACTGAACTATTTGCCAGGCTCTGAAAGGATAGCATGTTCTTCTTCTGTCAGATCCCAGAAGGAGCGGCCTGGTGGAGCTGATTCTGCAAGTAGGAGTGGGACAGCTGAGTGAACAGCAGAAGGACACCTTGGTGAGACAGCTGGCTGTGTTGCTGAATGTTTTGGATTCAGATATCAAAGTGCAGAAGATACAGGCCTACTCAGATATAAGGTACAAAGATATCCTGCTGTGCCAGGAGCGTTTGTGATTTTCATTGACGCTTTCACAGCTCGTACGTAGTTGCAAAATAATTGTTTCTAAGGCAACGAAAAAAATGCTGTAGCTCAGTATAGACTTTAAAAGGTGAAGATTATGGTAGAAGATTGGTGAAGTAAGCTCTGTAGAGGCTCAGAACTGAAGTGTTTTGGTTTTTAAAAAAAATAATTAAAATATTTTATTTTATTTCATTTCTTTAAAGAAAGCGTGTGCATTTATTTCAATGTCTTTGTTCCACACAGTGCTGCTATTTTTTCCCAAATGCTGGCTGGAGTGAGATAGGCTGATTCTCACAGTGAAGCAAGTATTGTGTTTCAAAATAAGGTTCCAGCTGTATCTGATCAAACCTGGTTTATTCCCCTTTTCTTCTACTTCCTCTCTAAGATTTTGATGTTATAAGAATTTTATAAACATTTTCCCAGGTAACTGGTGCTGAAAGTTCATTTTTTTTAGAGAAAACTACACAGCGGATACTCCTAAGTGTGGTGTCTTATTCTGAAGTAGAAATACCCCCTCTACATGGTGTAGAGGGCTAGTGATGGCAGAGAGAACTTCTCAGCGTGATTGGTGGAACCCGTTGACATGAGTTATCTTTAAATTACTTCTTGTTAACTGCTTGGTAATTTAAAACCTATTCTGGTGTCTGTTTAGCTTTCTGGGAACCTCTTAAAAATTTAAAAATAAACAGTTTGGAAAATCTAGCACTTATGATATTTTTAATTACAGCTTCCAGTTACTGCTTTTCAGATACAGATGTTCCCTGAGGTGGAATGGGATGAGATGAACACCACCCAACTTAAAAAGAAAAAAAGAAAAGGGTGGGGGAAGGTGGAGGAAGGAGGGCTCCCACGTGAAGTTCTCTGGGTCTTTTGCTTCTGAGCTTTTCTTCCTCTTAAATTTGGTTTCCTAGTCACTCAGACTGTTTCAGAGTGCTTTGTGACAGGTTCTAGATGGGAGTGGGGAAAGCAAATGTATACATAACCTCTCTTAAAGTGTGAGTCAGGAAGACCAGGAAAGGAATTACATTTCCTCTTGTCCTCACGTTTTTTTCTGTGAAACTGAGAAGCCAGAGAACTGCTGGTGCTCCCAGCTCAGAATGAAGTCCGTGGCATTTGAATGGAGTTGACAGATCCATGGACAGAGTTCCTTAATCTTTGGCAGTGGCCACATTTGCTTTCCAGAAACAAACAAAACCAAAGGCTGCAAACTGATAGAAGTGATCTGTGACAGCAGCCATGGCAGTGGGGTTGGACTAGATGATCTTTAAAGGTCCCTTCCAACCCAAACTATTCCATGATTCTATGATTCCATGACTCATGACCTTAGCTGTTTTTCCTGCAGCACTTCAGTTGTGTTCTACGTGCAGAACGGGCATCCTTCCAAAGTCATCAAGGCCTCGGAGGTCTCACGAGCTCTGCACGTGCAGCTTTTGAAAGAGAAGGCTGACTTCCTGCTTTTTAAAGTGCTGAGGGTTGACACGGCTGGTATGTTTGGGATTGTCCTTGCTGATCTTTGCAGGGAAACTTTGCAGGTGTTTGGCTGACTCAACAACCTGGAGACAATACATGAAGACCTTGTCTGCCATCTGGTGTCTGGGCTTCCATGAAGCTTTCCAAAAGATGATGCTTAAAATGCTTGTTCATTTGTAATAAGACAGTACTTAAAGTTCTTGTTCATTTGTAGTAGACTGGTGCCAGTTACTTGTGTTCTTTTAAAATACATCATCTGTAGCAGCAGGCAAAAGCTCATCTTAATCAGGTCTGCGTCAGGAACGCCTGGGGAGTGAGGGTAAAGATACCCCGCTCATACCATCTTGTGTTGGAAGATGGGCAGAACTTAGTACAGCCATAATACAGAATATTTCATCTCCCTGGTTCCTTCAAGGCTCTCAGTGTTCAGTAGTGGGCTGGTAATGTAGTTTATTTTTGTCTGTCTACATCAGGCAAAATGCTCAGGTGATCACTGTGTCATAACTTAGTCTTCTAATATTTGCAATGGAGATGGGCCACTGGGGTTTCTTATAATGAACTTTTCCCCCCAAAAGATGCTTGAAATTTTAAGCCTGTTTTAAACTTCTCCAGTAATGTGCGCCCTTTATGATACTCAGATCTTACAGGTGTGAGTTCTTCATCATTTAAAATCAGGACATAATGATCCAAATGCAGACAAAGTGAGCTAGCTCTGGCAATAAAATAGTCATTGCTTCTATAGTAAATTCTGTCTTTATTTACCTGTTGAAAAGGGCTGCTGTTCTATTGTAAATGTAGTTAGATTACCAAAATGCTTAGGTGTCACATGAAAATATGTATTAACATTTCTCTTGACATAGTATATCTGCTACCCTTAAGTTTCAAGGGGAATAACTTTTTATTTTAGTCTGATATGATGCACTGATCTATCAATAGTTGCTACTATAAGCGTATGAGACGTGTAAATGTTCTGGCCTCAGATGCTGTAATTCAGTTTTGAAACACTGAAATACACTCTAGTTTATTGGTGTCACGCTTGTCTTCTGGTACCTGAGAATATTAACGTTCGTCAGTTCTGGGGTACTTTAGAAGTTCTTACAAGTAGGTCATAAAGAAATGAGCAGCTCTAAATTCCACAGCTTCAACTTACCTTTATTTCTGGTTGGAATAAACTGCTCTGGACTTGTGTGCAATTTCTGTATTGTATGGATAAGATATATTCTTATCTTCCCAACCAGCAGTCTGCTGAACTGTAAATCTGTTTAACACACAACACCAAAGGGAAAGGGAGATTTAAAAAATATCAGAGTGTTATGAACTAGATGCTTTACTAGATGCTTTTTAGATCCTGTCTCGCAGTAAGAGGATGGTGTGGCCAGTTGTCCATTTACACAACTGATGCTCTGTTTGGTTTTGTTCTTAGCCTGTCTTTTAAAATGCTCTGGACATGGACGCTGTGACCCCATAACAAAGCGCTGCATTTGCTATCAGCTCTGGATGGAAAACTTGATCCATCGTTATCTAACTGATGGAGAGAGTAATTGTGGTGAGTTTGGGTGTTCTGGGATGTATTTCAGGGATAACTCACCATCAGGTGAAGCTGTTGATTATGTGCTGTCAGAATGAGGAGTACTTAGGAAGTAGATGCTAGGAAAGACTCAAACAGTCTCTTTTATTTTCCAGCTCAGCAATATCTTTCTGTAGAAAGATATTTGAATTATGTCTTAAAATTATAATGTTTTGGCAGTAGCAACCTATATTTAAAATATTTTAAATATTTAAGTTTTTAAAAGTATCACTATTTGGGTGTGGTGTTTTGGGTGGATTCACCTTTTTGGCTTGTACCTTGCAGCCAAACACAGCCTGCTCTCTCAGCCTCCCCCCACCACCTCAACCCAGGGAGGAGGGGAGAGAATGGGAAGGAAAAGGGCAAGGAAACTCATGGGTTGAGATAAAAACTATTTACTAATTAAAATAAAATGATAATGATACCAACAGTAATAACTAATAACATTAGTACTTGATCAACATTCCTCTGATAACAAATCCCACACTGAAACTAAAACACAGCTATTCTAATTACTAAAAAGAAAATTAACTCTATCCCAGCAAAACCAGGACATTGAGGGGAAAAAAGCATGAAAATTTAATCACAGGAGAGGGATCTTGCAACAGTTTGGGGCCAGTTGGAAAGGTGGTTGAATAGCGGGGGCGTTGCAAAGCTTTTGAGTAGTGTTCATCTGGTTGTTGCAAAGCTGAAGAAGAGGCAACAACTTAAATTCTCTGAGTGAGCAATTGATGCTTCTGTGCCAGAAGTATGACCTGACCTAAGGAAAAAAAACCACCAGTATTCTGGACTAAGCAATGTAGTCACCTTGAAAACCTCAGCTTTTTAGCAGGCTGAATTTCACTGTTTCTTTCAGTTTGCCTGTTGCGCCTGGGAAATGCCATTTAGTTTCACCAGCTTAATCCTATTCTGTGTCTGTATTCTGTGGCACATCTAACTTATCAGCTAAGCCTCTCTATTTTAAAGCTTTAAGAGTTCTAATGTAATTAAATTAGTCTTCAACTTAAGTTGCAATAAAGCTTAACTCTTAGTACTGTGCAGACTTGGAGATATTTGCTGAGCACCACACTAGTCTTCAAGTAAATATATAGACATTTCTCAGGAGCTTACTACAAGCCATTTAAGTAACCATGGGCCATGTGTCGGTCTGCTAGTGAGTGAAGACTTAACTATTGACCAACCAAAATGAGACAGTAGGTTTTAAGCCTGAGGCTGGGACCTCCTGCCACCGTGCCCTAATGCTCTGCTGTTCTGTAGTGTAATAATAACGCTGAAATAGTGAGCAGAGACGTGTTGGAGCTGGAGATTATTGCACATCTTTCTGTGTTATTCTCAACGTTTTCCTGGATTTACAGATGTAAGCGTGCAGGTAGAAGGATCTGTCTCTAGTCAGCTGCTCTTTGAAAGCACTCCTAAAATGCTAGATCCAGAGTACACTTCTGTTTATTTCAGCTAGAGAATGATGAAGGAGGTGGTAACCATGCACATTGATTTTCAGTTCCCACGTAGACTTCAGGTATCTTGGGATGGTTAAAGGTATTGGAGTGGAACAAAATTTTCAGATGTGCACTTTCAATCTGGAAGCTTAAGAATTTTTAGGGATTCTTCTGAGAATATGAAGGTGCTAAATTTTCCCAAGTTCCTGTTGTCCCTCCCCATCCCTCAGGGTTGGTTATTTTAATATTATATTAGAAATTACCCTATTCATATTACTCTACAAAGTACTGTTGTGTTTCTTCTTTCAGAGTGGAGTATACTCTATGTGACTGTGTCTGTTTTTATTTTGATTGTGGTCATGGTAGGGCTTGCCTGGTTCTGCATCTGCTGCTGCAAAAGGTACGTGATCTGTGTTTCTTTTTGGTGGGGTACATGCAAAAACTGCACACAACTGCCACATTTTAGTCTGGTTCTTAGCACTGAAGCCTGAACTCTTTTCAGATACGTGAGGAGTTTCTGTAGCTATTTCTGTATAGCCCCACTTTTGTTGAAGAAAGGATTATCGATTTGTGGCTCTGTGCTCTCCTGTATTTTGGAAAACAAAAAGCTGATATTGGATATCTCTTAATGTTAAGAGATAATTCGTGTTAAAATGCTGAGTGTATACTGCAGATCTTGATGTGAGTCCTCCAGAGGACTCCCAGTGAGTACTCCAGGTATTCCATACTGAGAAAAAAGAGGCCCACCCTGAAGGTGACTGACATAGGAGTGTTCTAGGCCATGGGCAGGGAGCTGCTCCCAGCCTGATGCCTCCCTTGGACAGGAGGGATGGACATGTGGGCTACATCTGGCTGGCAGGCAAGGATACTCCAGTGGTCTCAGTCACACAAACTTCTTCCTCTTTTTTTTTTTTAAACAATTTTACCCACCTTTGTGTGTTGCTTTCCTCTCTGCCCTCACCCCCTCCTAGTCTTTCCTAGTGAGCTGTAAGCAATTATCTTTCAAGTGACAAGTCCCTGCGAGTTCTGTCACTAGAGCAAGTGTTTTTGTTGCTGCTCAAAAAGCCCAGCGAACAGATAACTTGTTCAGGTGTTAGCAAAAATGAAATGCCATCAAAACCTTTCTGCATTCCCAACATTTTTTTTTTCTAGGGTGTCTTTGCAGTATGGAAAGGATGCTGTTTGAAATGCACGAGGGTTGATACTGCTTTCCTGTTTGTGGCTGAAGGAGTTTGTGTTAGAAAGGTTTAAATAGAAGTGTGTCCCATTCCACAGTGTGGATTTGATGAGAAGGGGATTGTTTAAGGAGTTCAGCTGCTTCTGTCCTTTGTCCTCATGTGTCTTGTGCCAGAGAGTGAGGGCTGGTTGATAGATACATGTAAAAAAGGAGGGAAATGCTGTGCAGGACAAAATGGCAAGAGATGGCTTTTGCCTTGTGGAAAGTACAGGAAAAAGATACACTGTAGTCCAAGATTTGGCTGCAGTTCTGAAGATTTTAAAGGCTCTGAGTTGCCACATGAACTCCTTTTTTTTTCGAAGGCTGTAGAGGGAAGGCCGAGCAGCTGTTGCTGTCATGTTGGTGGCTTCTGCACTGCAAACAGTGCAATTTGGGTGGGAGTGCTTCTCCAGACATTGACAGAGGGCATGTTCCACCCACCCATGCCCTTCCAAAATTATGAGACAGAGGGACAGAAAAATGCCTGAGGTGTGACAGCATCTTCTAGGAGATATCCCCTTGGTTTCATGTGTGAATGCCCTTATTTCTCCCTTATTTCTACCCTGAAATCCTTTGTTCTTTCCCTCTCAATCCAATACAACAAGCAGATCTGTGTCTGTTCCTCTGGCTCCAGGACTTTCCCTTCTGTATTAATGAGCAGAGGAGTAACTCCTGCAAATACCTGGAACTTCACATAGAGATGGTGAAGTTTGCAGCATTGTGGAAGTAGACGCTGGGGGAAGGATTTAAATTAAGAAAAAACAGGTGGGAATTTATTTACAGACCAGCAGGGCTTTGTCCCTCTGTATATATGAAGGAGCCAATCTCCAGTTTTTGTCTGGTTGTCTTTGTAAGCTTAACCAGACAAGTGCCACTTAAATTCTCTCAGTTAGGAAAAAATAAACCAAAAAACAAAACATAAATTGGGGACTAACAAATTCTTACAGAAATGTTATTTGAAAACAAATGAATATATGTCTGCCTTGTGTCTAACTAGTTAGTACGTTAACACTGAACAAACTGAACCCTGTGGTCTAAGAAAGCAAGTCTTTGTATGTCTGAGAGAGAAAAAAAGGATACTCTCTGGTTCAGATTGTACAGCTGCTTTATACAGCTGTAAAATGGAACAACTCTTTTTAAGTGGAGGTGAGAGAGCCCAGTGAGGTTCTGTATATCGGGGTCTGTAGCTGTGTGTATGAAAGGGAGAGGGAACAGATTTCTGTAGGTACCTGAGAACTAAATGTCTTTGTGGTAACTTTCTTTTTAGCAGAAAGAGGACAAAGATAAGAAAGAAAACGAAATACACCATCCTAGATAACATAGATGAGCAGGAGAGAATGGAGCTGCGACCCAAATATGGTAAGTACTGTCTGTTTCACCTGGGAACTCATCCACCAAGCTTGCAGTCAATGGATTTGAATTGACACCTGCAGTCAGGAGGAGCCCAGAAGCTGGCCTGCGAGTTTGGGAATGACAGAGGCAAGCACATACAGTGAAATGGTTGAGGGAGAATCACTTCATTTCTTTCATGAGCCCTTAGGCTCAGCCACTGCTCTGAGCTTCTTCATTAATCTTAATTTAGAATGTATTTAGGCTTTTTAGACTCTCTCCGTGTAACCCCTCTTCCCCTGCACACATTTGAATTTGAAGCTGTTTTTATTGCGGTGCAACACTTCCCTCCTGGCCCATAAGGGTCCTGTTAAACATCAGTAGACTTCAGCTGCTACCCTCTGTTCACATATATTTTGATTTACCTGAGCTTCAACTTTTTAGCAGGGGAAATGTTGGAATCCAGGGAAATAGAACTATCTTGAGCAATTACTGTCTTAGCAAGACGAGGCATTACATTTCTGTAGCAGCCATGACCTATCATTGCCACTTGTGTTACCCAGATAGCTGAGTGGACAGACTAATTTCCAGATTCAAGCTATTAAAATTACATTGGCTGTGTACTAAGGTCTTCTCACTATTTCAAATTTAAACACTTATGTTCACATTTAAGAGCCATAAACTGATGGGCTTGCAGTGAAGTCAGAAGAGTATCTGCCTGACAGCGTATGATACATCTTAGGCCATTTGTTATATGGCAGTGGTGCACACTGTTGTGCTGGATTGCAGGGAATGTTTTCACTTATCCACAGCAGAGGAGAGGATGGTTAGTTATTACTAAAAAAAGTGAAACCTTTCTAATTAACTTGGTTTGCTTTTTTTTTTGTTTGTTTTTATTGTCAGGTATAAAACACAGAAGTACAGAACACAACTCCAGCCTGATGGTCTCTGAGTCAGAATTTGACAGTGATCAGGACACTATCTTCAGCAGAGAAAAGGTTGAAAGAGAGAATCCTAAAATCCTTGTGAATGGATCCATCAGAAATGGAGTTTCCTTCAACTACAGCTCCAAAGACAGATAACTGAATGAGGGTAAATTTACAGAGCACGCTGGTCCAGCACATCTGAAACATGTTGGCCCATTTCTGTTTTTCCAGAACCAAAAGCTTCCTAAAATATCAACTGCAGATGAAAGGGTGAATTTCTAGCACAGTTAGGGGAGGGAAGAAGGAAGGATTAGATGGTCAGCTGGCCCTTCTTACCACTGTTATAGGAACAAGGAAAAGCACATCTTATTTCTTGCATGTTCCATGCTGACTGTTTCTCTGAACCTCAGAAGGCCTTTTTTCCTGTATCGCTGCTACAAAACCAGCCAGGGCTGTTAGGCTGCTAACAGTGGTGACTGAAATATATCAGGATTTGTGTCCTGTGCTCCTCTCTCCCTCTGAGAAGCAGTGTGATTTTTTTGATGCTGACCTAAAACAGCCAATGCCAATATAGATGAATTCCCTTACTAACTAACACAGACTCCATCTTCATTTTCAGTTGAGGCTGGGAACAGGGAGCATTGTTAGTACATTGTATTTATCTCTGACTGTGCTGTGTGACTCCCTTCTCTAGGGTAGTGCTCATCGGATGGAAATGTCTTTGTTTTCAAAGGAAGCTTACAATTCAGCAGTTGCACTTAATCAGCTGTAAAATAATGTGATCCATCTGTGTCCTGTAGGATGCAATCTTCTCTGTATTTGCATAAAAAATACGATACCTGCAGGGAAGTCCAGCCTTAGGTTGCTTCTGTAACGATGAAGGTGCTTTGGCTCTCTGGAGTCTGCCATGTCCAGCCAGGAAGCAGTAGCAGGAAGGACTCAGCACGATGCGCCCTCAGAAGCATTTTGAGCCTCCCAAACAACCTTTGTCTTAGAGAGCACTTTTAAGGAGCTCTGGACCTTTTAAGACTGAACCCTCAGCTGAGATGAGCTTTCATCTGTCAGCCTCAGTGTTCCATTCAAGAATGTGTGTTGTGATTTAACCCGTCAGGCAGCTAAACACCACACAGCCGTTTGCTCACTTCTTCCTCCAGTGGGATGGGAGAGAGAATTAGGGGGGGGAGGTGAAAACTGAAACTAAAATACAGCTATTCTAATTACTAAAAAGAAAATTAACTCTATCCCAGCAAAACCAGGACACTTGTTGAGAGTTTTAGATAAAGGTCGAGATAAAGACAATTTAATAGGACAGAAAGGGAAGGGAAAATAATATTAATTATAAAAATATACAAAACAAGTGATGTATAATGCAATTGCCTATCACCTACTGACTGGTGCCCAGTCAGTCCCTGAGCAACTGCCACCCCCTGGCCAACTCCCTGCAGTTTCATTGTTTAGCATGATGCCATATGGTGTGGCATATCCCTTTGGCCAGTTGGGGTCAGCTGTCCCCACTGTGTCCCCTCCCAACTTCGTGCACACCCCCAGTCTCCTCACTGGCAGGGCAGTGTGAGAAGCTGGAGTGCAGCTCACTCCAAGAGAGGAGGAGCAATTTGTTGTATTGAAGAACAGTAATCTGGCAGCGTTGGTGATACAGATTGCTTAAGGAACCGCTGTCAAAGGTGTTAGCAAACATGGTTTTAACATGGTATTATAAAAGGGTGACTTAAAAAAGTTCAGTAGCAGGGTTCACTCTATTAATTAGTACATGGAAGAAACATACAAATGAAAATTGAGTTACACTTCAGTTAGAATGATTCACAGAGACCAGAGATGAAACGTGTCAGGAAAACCCTCCCATTGAGTCATGAGGTTCACAGTGGACCCCCTTGCTTTCTAAACTGCTTCCCAGAGAGGAGTCCAGGAGCGGCTGGATCCAGACTTGGTCACTGGTTTATGTCTAAGGATCATATATGCAAAATTCATGTGATGTTTCATTAGCATCAGTTCAGCGTGCAGTCAAAGTTACCAAGGCAAAATCAAAGTTGGGTTATGCACGATACCAGTCATCAAAGATCTGTCTTTGGTTAAAGGTCTTCCTGCCTTGAGGAGTGACCTTGAGGGATGTCCCAGCTCAAGGGGAGATCCCTGCCATGCAGCCACGCTGTCTAGCAGGGAGAGCTAAAAGGTGACTCACGTGGGCTGTCATATTTATGGGATAAAGTGGTTGGCTCATAGTCAAATTACATGTGATGGAAAAGGTGTGCATGAGACTCCTTGTGCCTGCAGCTTTCTGTGATCCTTGATAAATGAGTCTTGGAAAAGCTACCCACTATTCATGTGCTGGATCAGTGATCCAAGCTCACATGCATCCATGCTCATTGTGTCACTCTGCTCCTCTGTGGGTTGTTGAAACTAGAGGAGTTGGTGTCCCAGTTACAGCTCAGGCCTTACCTCATTTGGAGCCTGGACCAAACTGCTGTTAGTTTGGTTAAAGGGGTCGATGCATCCATCACAGAAACGGAAGAGTCTTTGATTTAGTGTCAGCACTGCTTGGCAACAACCAAAACATCAGCGTGGTAATGCTGAAATGTCAAGTGAAATGCTTCTGGCAAAGTACCTGTGTGGAGCAAGAGGTTCAACACCTAGAATCATAGAATGGTTTGGGTTGGAAAGGACCTTAAAGATCATCCAGTTCCACCCCCCTGCTGTGGACAGCGTTGCCAACCACTAGATCAGGCTGCCCAGTGCCCCATCCAACTTGGCCTTGAATACCTCTAGGGACAGGGCATCTACTGAAACTGGATGATCTTGTCCCTTCCAGCCCTAACCAGTCTGTGATTCTGTGATCAGAAGGGTCAGGGAGGGGACGTAGCCCACCTCACCTCCATCATCAGGAATAATTTGGTGGAGAATTTTGGGGCTTTCTCCATCCTTTTGTAGAAGTTGAACACGACAGAGTAGTTAGGTGGAACACTGTGGCTTCTGTGCTTCTCTTGTTAATGGAGTTCAG